ATGGGCTGGTCCATGAGGTCACAAATAGTCGGAAGCATCTGAACAAATGAACAACAAGTGTCATGGAGTTTTCTTGTATTTGTGTACAACTGTATATAGTTGTTTTTCTCCTTTTGGGCATTCGCATAAAGAGGTAAACTTCACCCCGGGATCCCAATTTTCTGTATATGTAGCCATGGATGTATTGTCATAAATCCACATGTGGTTCAGTGAAGTGTGTGTGTGTGAGAGTCAAACAGAACGAGAGAGATGTGACATGATTTTTAAAGAATTTATCACTTTTCAAAGCATTTTTCATGGCAACTCAGTAATGGCTATTCTAAATGACAACAAAGCACCATTAGCATTTTTTTTTTTTGGATTTCAGTCACATTCTAATGAGGTCTTCATAATGCTGGCAAAATATGCTTAGAAATCATTACTGTAAATTACTACAGTAAAACACTCCTGGGGGATTTCTGCCAATTTCTGTCACAGGACCCATGGCAGATGGATCAGTATAATAGCAAAAGAATATGAGGAATGTGGTGTGTGAGTTGTTTGTTTCTCCTTTTCCGCCTCCTTCTTTTTTATCTTTTCACATAAACAGTGTAAATGTGAGCAACTTGGTAACATGCTACCAGATAAAGAGCTAAATGTCCCTCAGGTAGGTTCATTAAAGCAGGAAAACAATCAGAACACATTTTGCTGCCATTTAAATACCAGGTGCGCAGTGGTCTACAAGTGCCAGGAAAACTGACAAGGGTCCCTTGCTGCAATGCAAGTGAGCTTAAAGGATGCCGGGTTTTTGACAAGGCTGCCTCAGATAATGACAGGTGCTGGCAGATGTATTCGGGCCCCGCTAGAGGCGAATGGAGGGACCGAATCATCTGTAACAGGTGCCTGCGCGAGAGGAAGTCTCCCGGTGGCTTCTCTGCCTGCAATTAAAACCATCCTGATGCAGAGAGCTCCAGGGCAAAAGCTATATCCGAGCACAAATTTAATGACTATCCAGTCCGGGTAAACAAACACACACACGCCCACTTCATGATTAATTCATGAAGGACAAACACAAGGTATGTGGCAAACATGTTAGAGAGGCATTCTTCTCCCCTGGAAAAAAAAATCATCCCTGCGACCCTCCCAAAACAGGATTATTTTCCTCCCATTTTGGGCAGGTGGTCTCCAGACAAATCTGTAAATCAAACGACAAAAGTAGCAGCCAAATGGCACGGAGAGCTCCCAAAAGAGTGAAAAACAATCCCACAGAGTCAAGAAAAGGTACAACAGGAATCTGACCTATTGTCAAAACATGACAGTAAAAACAAAACCCAGAGAAAACTCAAAAGAGCGAGGACCCCTTAAAGACATTGCTAAATGAGGCATAACACAGTCCGGCAGGTTGAGGTAGCAATAAACTGCAAGTACAGCTTGTACATTAATTAACATTTAGTGTCAATTGCTTCTCCACTAAAAATAGCAGACTACGGAAAAATTATTTTTTTTGCAATTTTTTGACTACAACTTTTAGAATTCCACAACCAGCACAGCCACTGGTCAGTAAACTACAGGTTAAGAGTAAATGTCACATTTACTTCCATTTCCTTTAAGCATCTAGCATTGAGACAGGTTAGAAAAATTAACCATCTGATGCCATATTGGTTCTGATCCAAATCAATCCTTCTTCCCATGCTCTAAATAACAACAACAACAACAACAACAACAACAACAACAACAATCTTTACTTGTTCTCATCCCAGCGGTGAAATTATATACAAAAAAACTTCAGCAAAATGCAATGGGTATAGTAGGCATATTGGAGCTAATTGAGATTGATATGCTAAAGGTTTATGGATTTAAGTCTTCCTATCTTCACTTAGAGTTCCAAGTCAGATTGAGACCCCTTGTCTTTACTTGTCTAAGGAAAGAAATCAGATACATATGTACATATTACATATGTACATCCAATATTAATTTTGGTACATTGTGTCACAAAACCATCACGTCTTGTGGACTATCTTGAGAAGCGTACACTATGCAGTGTTTCTTATTCTGAGGTCATATGATTCCCCTCTGTCCTATTGGTAGAAAGATAGCTATTTAAATGTTTTGATTGTAAATACTTGATTATCCTGTGTAGGACAGAGGCCACAGGAGGGAAACAAGATTGGAAAGGGGTAACAGTCAGATTGGAAAGGGCTAACAGTCAGAAACATGTTGAAAAACACTGCACTATGGCACAGTTTTGTAACAGTTCTGGTGATGACAGGACTAGATAGATACCTTAAAGACATTCAGACAACTGGAAAATAATATCCAATTATTGGACTGAGATGACAAGTGCTCAAAGGCAGTAGCTGTGTATAGGTCTGAAATGCAAAATTAAATGTAGTACACTTAATGAGGTAAAGTGCTTCCTAGATTATATGTTTCCTATTTTTCAAATGTACAGCACTGGATTGATCAATCCATCTTTTGCCCTGACTCTGGTGTGGTGGAACTGAAATGCTCATGAACCCTGTCCAACACTGTAAGTGGTGAGAGATTATAAGAACTGCAACCCTACAACACCTGAAGGGCCAACACATTCCCCATCCTTGCTTTAAAGAAATGGCCTAATGTGTTCAGCCATGGAAAGCCATTGAGTGACCTTGGGCAAGTCATAATCTCTCAACAAACTTCTTCTGAGAAAATATTGCTAAGAAAACCTTATGATAGGGTTGCCATATGTCAAAAATGACTTAAAGGCACACAAAAACAATGAAGGTGATGTGAGAAGGAGGTGACTATGTAAATAACAGATGTTTCATTATTAAGCCGTGAGCTGGGTACACAGTGAGGAAATCAGACAACTATTTTGCTACTGATGCAAAGCCTACAGTGAGTACATTATTCTACAATTCTCTAAAAAGGCTCTCAGAATCTGCCATCTCTCAGACTACATTCCGTTTTGTGGAAGATAGTGATCAAATTGATAAAATATATAGGGAAATTTCATATCAATATTTGGGTGAACATTTTTTTTACTTTGAATGAAACTGGGAAACTTAATTTGTCCATTCGTTACATTTCAAATGGTTCCAAACTGGCTACTTTAGCCAATCTAATTGTGTCAATCTTTGTGCTTTTGCAACAGCCCTTAATTATACTCACAAAATGTACTACTTTGTTGTCCAAATGTGGTCCTGTTTCCTGATTTGTGAGCAGGCTCAGGCACTTAGATGTCTAGGCAGGAGGATTTAAATGCACAATAAACTATGAGCAAAACCCTCTTTCTAAACGCAGAATGAAAATTGGATTTACAGTAAAAGAAGCTGTAAATGACACGTTTGCTCATAATATGGAGAAAACATTCAACACACAGTACTCCACACATTTATTTTTCAAGGGAAATTATAAACTACAGTATTGCCAAGAAATTAAAAACATGCATCACAATTATTTTAGTTGCACCAAAATGTATGTTCAGTTTCCCTTTCCATCATTTGCTAATAAGGCCTGGAGGTGTTGACAGTACAGTTGAGAAAGTCTGAGAATTTCATGAAGAAATTGAACATCTGCTTCTATAGGCTAACTTAACATTAAGGAAGGAGAGTGTCTTTACGTGCCTAATTCTCAACTATAACCCCAACACCATGAAATGTAGACAAGATGAAACTTTGCACTGATAGCAAGGGGATCCCAAGAGCATGCATATAGGACATGTTTTTAAACAGATTTAGTTTAAACTATTTGCAGCCTGTAGTTCTATTTTCAGTCACTAGTATGTTATAAACTGCAACAATGAGTATCAATTTCCCCATGATATCTCCACATCACTATCTTCGAACAAAGAGAAAGAAGAAAAGGAAGGAAAACACAGTCAAAAAAAGTTCTGTGTCTAGTAAGGACAAGAAGAAAAGCGAACAGGCTAAAAGAGTACCACGGCTGAGGAAAGGGAAAAAAGGTGGTCAGGGGAGAGGAGCAGAATAAGGAAAGAAAAAGAGGATGTACATCAGTATAGGGAAAGGAACCGCATGCTGATGGGTTATGTCACAGAAAGAATATCTAGTTCTGAGTGACAGGAAAACCACCAGGGTAGCTGTGTAGCTTATGGAGAAGAAAACAATTTAATATAGGAGAGAAAAGGGTAACTAGGAGCTTCCAGCCTGTATGAATCTGTGTACTTTTGCTAGTTATAAATACTGTAAATAATCTGCTTTTGAAATAGTAATATACTTCTCTCTTCATCATGATTGTACATACTGCTTCCTCAAAAATTACTATTAGATAACATGCTGTTGTGTACCTTCAAGTTGCTTTTGGTCTATGGCAATCCTAAGAGGGTTTTCTTGGCAACACTTGTTCAGAAGGGATTTGCCTTCCTCTGAGACTGGGAGAGTTTGTCACTCAGTCGGTTGGGTGTGGGATTCAAATCCTGATCTCCTGGGTCATAACCCAATGTACAAAGCACCACACCATACCTAAAGGTATGTCCTAGGTCTTTACTACTATTCCTCTATGGCTAATAGTAATTTTAAGAGAGTTGACTTCCATTAGAAATAAATGCAGAAAGGGACATAATCCCTCTTTCCCATATGTTTGGTTTTTTTTAATCAAAAGAAATAGACACTGGGAAATCCAGTCATATATCTTCCATGTTTCATGTAACTTAGTTTTGGGTGAGGATCCGAATTCCAAGAGTTATGCTCGATGTATTGTCGAAGGCTTCTAGAACATGGCCATATAGCCCAAAAAACATACAACAACCCAGTTATGCTCTAACTAACAGAACTATGCTGGCTCTTTTTAGCTTACTTTGTTCTTGGAGTGAATGACTCAAAACCAAGCTGGTAAATTAGCACTAATGTTTTTTTTTAAGCGCAGAAGAGACCATTATAGAAACCACTCAAAGTAAACATTATTTACTGTACTTTTATGGTTTAAAATAGAAAACTCTTCAAGCATTTTGTACATCAGTATCCTTATGCTTTTGACTGTTCTGAAATATATGTGAAAAATAAACATTCAGATGTTCTTACCCTTCCCACTTCCACAAGATTTGTCACCATGACTATACTTGCTGTATTTTCATGCCAGACCATTCTCCAAAAGTCGTATATTGTCTCTTGCATCGGCCCTGAAACGAGAAATCAATCCAAAGGTTATTTTTTGCATCCTTCAGTGTTGGGAGATTACGCTTTGATAAAGTTGGAACCTTCAAAGTTTGACACTGGCAGAGTGTGCTTAGAGGACCAGTTGCGCATCTGTAGATTCATCAGATGGGGCCACTAAATCACTGATGATTTAATATGTTGTTTGCTAGCTCATTTGAATACAACTATTTTCCTCCTGAGAGTGAAGGTGAGTTGGTTGTTGAAAACGGCATTCTTATACACACATATCTGGAATAGGTCTGATTAAAGTCACTCAATATACATCAGAGCAGACAAGTATAAAATCACACTGACAGTATCATAGCTAACAACCAGGGCTTTGATAAGGAGAAAATGGCATTATTTATTTGAACTTTAAAATCATATTCAGGGGAAAATCCTCCTGAAAAGATAAAATAGTAGCATACATTGCAACTGATTCAAACAGAAGCACACACACTTTAGAATTTCCATATTTAGTTTACACCAACTGTAAGAAAATCAATTTAGGAAAACCAAGACTGGCTTCCATGTACTCTTACAAAATCAGACTGGAACATCCAGTGCCTTAGAGACCATTAAAAAGGACACGTACAACCCATGGCATGCTATTCTATAGGGATGGAATCAATAAAGAAAATGCATCATCTCTGTGCTCACTATATCATGAGACTACAGAATGCATTAGAAAATATGATAATGCTTGAAAAAGAGGATTTCATTATAGGTGGATAGACTCAATCAAGGAAGCTATTGCTCTGCAAGATCTGAATGGTGCTAATGATGATAGGGTGACCTTGGAAGTCTCTCACTGATAGGATTACCAAGTGCCCAATCATACTACATAAATAAAGTGCTATATTCCACTTCAACTGCCATGGCAATCCTGAGATTTGTAATTTGGTACTGGAATATTCTGACTGAGAGTTCTAAATGCCCTCCCGAAACTACAAATCCAAGGATTTTATGGGACATTCCAAGAATAGTTAAGTAGTGTGTAGTGTGAATGAGCCCCCTAAATCGAAGGTGACTTAACAGCAATCAAATGCTCTCCAACTTGAACCAGACATATGTGCAAGATGGCTGAATTCTGGACCCTGGTTATGTGTTCTTTCAGGTCACTTGCTGTCAAGTCATTTATAACTTTAAAAGTCATCACTAGGAACTTTAAATGTGTGCTGATCAAGTTTGCAGATGACACCAAATTAGGAGGGACAGCTAATGCTCCAGAAGACAGGATCAGAATTCAAAGTGACCTCAACAGATTAGAGAGCTGGCCAAAACTAACAAAATGAATTTCAACAAGGAAAAATGTAAGATATTACACTCATGCAGAAAAAAAATGAAATGCAAAGATATAGGATGGGTGATACCTGGCCAACAACAGTCCATGTTTTAAAGATCTTGGTGTCTTTGTAGACAATAAGTTGAACATGAGCCAACTGTGTGATGCAGCAGCTTAAAAGCCAATGGGATTTTGGGCAGCATCAAAAGGAGTGTAGTGTCCAGATCAGTGGTTCCCAACCTTTTTTTGACCAGGGACCACTTTGACCAGGGACCATTCTCCAACATTAGTACCAAAAGGGTTATGAATCAGTTTTTGGTCAACTTTAGATTCGGTTTAGTTATTTGGAGTGCTGATTCAGAAAATTGCACTGGATAGACCACATCAGCTCTAGTTTCTGATACAGAACATATGCCATCTAGTAGTCGCCATCTTCTCTCCCACAGAAAACCGTATTTAATAATCTAGAGCTGATGTGGTAGTACTAATCTTTTGTGGGTAGCCAGTCTCTCCCTTCCCAACATCCCTTACAGTTGCCTCAGCACTATAAGAGGGTTTTGTGAGACCAGTTGCTCTCACTGCCACATGGTTTCGAGGCATTGGTGTAGAAATGGTGAGGCTGCAGATTATATTTTCGTTCTTGCAGACCACTGGTGGTCCATGGACCACAGGTTGGGAACCACTGGTCTAAATCAAGGGAAGTCATGGGGCCTCTCTATTCTGTTTGGTCAGATCTCATCTGGAATACTGTGTCCATTTATGGGTACCACAATTTTAAAGAGATATTGACAAGCTGAAAGGTGTCCTGAGGAGGGTGACTGAAATGATCAAAGGTCTGGAGACCATGCCCTATGAGGAACATCTTAAAGAACTGGGTCTGTTTAGCCTGCAGAAAAAAAGGTTGAGAGGAGACATGATAGCCATGTATACATATGTGAAAGGATGCCACAAGGAAGAGGGATCAGGCTTGTTTTCTGCTGCCATGGAAACTAAGACTCAGAGCAATGAGTTTAAATTGCAAGAAAAGGGACTCCAACTGAACATTAGGAAGAACCTCCTGACTGTAAGAGCTGTTCAACAGTGAAACTCTCTGCCTTGGAGTGTGATTGAAGCTCCTTCTTTAGAGGCTTTTAAATAGAGGCTGGATGGCCATCTGTCCAGGTACTTTGCGCTTTGGGTAGGGGTTTGGACTAGATGGCCCATTTCTGCATCTTTCTTAAACATGGAAATTAACATGTCAAGAATTAATCACCCAGGATTTATTGTCCAGTGTTTATCCATTGCCTCCTTAAATGCAGGAGGAACTACACTCTCAGTCAGAAAAAGATTAACCACCATTGAGGTCCAGATGGTAAGAACTGTACTGTAAGTTTTTAACACCTAGGAAAAGCATGAGTCCAAACAGCAGGAGGTGGGTTTCAAACTTTCAAGCAATTTGTCATCTTGCTACAGATAATTCACTTTTTTTTTTAGGGGAGAGAGTTTAACAGATAATATGAACTATTTCAGTGCCCTCTGCATTTTTAATATTCTTGTTTGTTTGTGCTATTGATCTAATTAGGTTAACTCCCAAATTGTTCTTTCTCAGAAAGAAACAGGTTTTTGGAGAGAGTTTACTCTTTTGACAGGAGTAGTAAAAGTAGTTTAAATGACAGAGTTGACAATTATTCTTGCTGTAGATCTTAATGAGAGAAATGATTCCAGGGAAATTAAGTGTAAGTTAAGTAAGTAAGCAAGTAAGTTAGTAAATAAGCAATCAATCTTCCTGTTTTTTATGGATTCAGGTCACATTTTGTTGTTGTTCATTCGTTCAGTCGTCTCCGACTCTTCGTGACCTCATGGACCAGCCCACGCCAGAGCTCCCTGTCGGCCGTCACCACCCCCAGCTCCTTCAAGGTCAGTCCAGTCACTTCAAGGATGCCATCCATCCATCTTGCCCTTGGTCGGCCCCTCTTCCTTTTGCCTTCCACTTTCCCCAGCATCATTGTCTTCTCTAGGCTTTCCTGTCTCCTCATGATGTGGCCAAAGTACTTCAACTTTGTCTCTAGTATCTTTCCCTCCAGTGAGCAGTCGGGCTTTATTTCCTGGAGGATGGACTGGTTGGATCTTCTCGCAGTCCAAGGCACTCTCAGAACTTTCCTCCAACACCACAGTTCAAAAGCATCGATCTTCCTTGGCTCAGCCTTCCCTAAGGTCCAGCTCTCACATCCGTAGGTGACTACATAATACTTTATCCACAGGGGGGAAAAATACATGGAAATGACGTGTACATAATTAAATAAATGTTTCTGTCTCTGGCTTTTCTCTTACAGACGTTGTAAGGATGCCCTGCCAGTGTCACCTTCTCTCACCATGTATTATGTACTAAAATATGTGAAATAGATTACAACATATATTATCTTAAAATGTTATTTCATTTATTTAAAGTCATGGTGTATAGAAAAAAACACCGTCTTATATAAAAACTAGTCTATACTGATGTACCTTATACTAAAGCTAACCCATGTTTAGAGTTTTGTTCATGCTAGGAAAGCAACTAGCTAGTTAATGAATTGCTGCTTTTCTTGGACAAACATAATAAAGCACACAGCAGTGCCTATGCATTAGTTCATTCTTGAAGAGAGGCAACGTGCCATTCAAAACAGCCACAGATTGCATATACGTCTACAAGGACTTATTTGTTACTAGTTACAGCTATATGTGACAGTATTCAGTACACAGCTTTCAGGGTACTTTCCGGGAGGAAAAATTTGCTTCCTTATTTATACAATTTTAAAACCTTAATGTTTGCACTGTAGCTATCTATATACATAGGAAGAGTATATAGATGATCAGGATAAAAAAATCTAGTTCTTTTTGCTTATGTTCACAGCTGGTGGTGAAAGTGTGTCCTGTGTACCACACATGGCCCCAGCTCCAATTTGGCAGCCCTTGAGAGACCCACAAGGTACCCATGCCAAACGACCACCCATTTTATTTTAAAAATATGTTCAAGTGTTGACCAATTTTCATCCAAAATTAGCAAAACTCCATCCAGTCTGCAACAAAAATATGTCAGTTTAGGTCTTGCCCTTCAGCTCCACCAAAACATAAAATAAAGCAAAGAAAGCCTTTATAACCTCGCCCCCCTCATCACTTCCATTGTGGTCTTCTAGGGAAGGGGGGGGGGTGACCTCTCCTTCCTATGTGGTTGCAACACAATCAGATATAGTATAAAACTAGTTTTCATAAATGTATTAAAATTTGGGCTCATATGCTCCTTCCATATTCTCTTTTTCTTTCTTGTATAAGAACATGTGCAATTTTTAATTAAAAACTAATTAGATCCCTAGCATGTCCAAACTTGAATAATAACTGTTTATTTTAATTTCAGATCCAATTTAATGGAGGATTCAAAATTCTAATCTGATTTCTGGATCATTTTACTAACAGTACCTTAAATAAACTATAGTTTCCTGATTGTGAGTATCATGATCTTAAAATTCCTGCTGTGCCTTTTCATGTCACTGCTTTTCATTCATTTAACTGTATGTCATGGTTTCTTTTTGGATCTGAACAAGCCCATAAAGAGATTTCTTAGGAAAACAAAGGCACTGACAACGTACAAATACCAGTATAAAAAATCCGATATTGGCCTTGGAGACTTCATGATAAACATCTGATGAAAAGTTTAAACTTTCCTATTGCTAGTCCCGGCCT